GTGTTACATGTCCCCGTAGGATATGAAATAGTGTTTTATCAAACAGTTTCATCGCTTATCCCGATTAGGGTTTAGAATTTTTGAACGTACGAACTTTCTAAGTGATAACTTCTTATTAAAATAGCGAGTTGTACAACCTTAAACATAAGGAAAACCCTAATATAAAAGGGTTAGATGAGTTGACCGGCTTGACGCGTTGACTTTATGTGACTTTGACTTGACTGAAATTTGACGGTTGTCACACCATCCACCCCCCCCCCCCCCGGTTACAAGGAATTTCATCCCGAAATTAGCGTTTTCACTGGGACATCAAGAATTTGGGAAGAGATGCGGGTAGTTTTGTTTCATTAGGCCCTTGGATTCCCAGGTGAATTTAGGTCCTCGTTTAGCATGCCAACGGACCTTCACGATAGGAATGCGACTTTTTTTTTTCGTTCTCTTGATTTCGCGATCCATGATTTCAACCGGTTCCCCTACGAAGTGGAGACTCTTGTTGATTTTGATTTCACCGAGTGGTATTACATGAGTTTCTTCGGACAGACACTTCGTTAAGTTTCATACGTGGAGGTCGGGTGTACGTTATTAAGTTCTTGTGGCAGTCGAAGTTTGTACGCCAGTGGCTAATCCTGGAAAGGATTTGAAATGGCCCGATGTATCTTGGATTTAGTTTCCCATGTTTACAAAAATAAATCATTTTTTCCACGGTGAGACGTTCAATAGTACATGGTCCCAACCTGGAATTTCAAGGGTTTGAGTCACTTACCTGCGTAGCTATTTTTTCGATCTCGAGATGCTTTCAGACTTTCTCGAATTTGCACGATCTTTTTCGTTGTCTCTCTTATGATTTCAGGGTCAGTAAGGGTGCTGTTAAGGACTTGCCCCTTCGCTAGCCGTGTATCTCCCACTTCAACCCAGTGCAGTGGTGATCTGCCCTTGCGGCTATAGAAAGCTTCGAATGGAGCGACCTTGATGTTAGGGTGGTTGTTGTTATTGTGCAAAAATTCAATGAGTGTTAAATGGGCATTCCCACTCTTTACCGAAATCAATCACCCAAGCCATTAGCATGTCTTCCGAGGTTTGAACGGTTTCTTTTGCTCTGCTTGTTGGTTGTATGTGGTAGGTGATGGGTTTTATACATATCAAACAATCCTATGTGTGCATGCAACCCTAATTTGAGGATCTATGTTTTTCACTGTTAGACATACAAGCATTAAACACAAAAACTAGAAAACCCTAGGAGGCATACGCAATTCTCGAAATTATTATGTAATTAGGGTTAGGATACATACCGTGATTGTTATATTGTAATAACAATCAAATCCTTGAAGATCTTGAAATTTGGTAGCAAGCGTTACAAGTGTGGCGCCTCTAGCGGCTCATAAAGAAAACTAGCAACCAAGGATTACTATGGATAGAGAAGGGAAGTGGAAAATTCGGTTCTTAGCCTCTCTTGGAGTGCCTTAGACGAAATCCAACCCTATAGGGGTTTATATAGGTGATAAGGAAGGTTTAGGATAAGGCAGGTGTATCTTAGATAACCCTAATCCCTTAACTTCGTCCCTAATGCTTCCAAGGCACCCTTAGAGCCCAAGGAAACCCTAGGAAACTCTAGATTTCGTTCCCCACCTCTATGGGAGGTTCTAGAATGCTTCAATGCTCAACTTTTGAAATTTGTCACCTTTAGTCCCTCCAGTTTCAATTAATTCCTTTAATCCTAAAATTAATTCCAAATTAATTTCTTATTAAATATTAATTAAACAATATGTTTTCTAATCAATATATTATATCCATAGTACATTAATAAATAATTTATATTGATTTCAAATTAATTTATTAACCAAGTAATAAATTAATAAATCTTTCTTCTCTCTCCAACAATTATCCTATTCCATTGCCATGTTTGAAGGCAACCCAAAAGGACATTGCTACTATCAATTCAAGTACATACCAATTATAGTTATGAGCTTAGACACCTAATCCAACAGTCTCCCACTTGGATAAATATAATAACTATAGTTGCAAGTATAACTTCACAAATTAACTACCAAATTTTAGCTACCAAAAGCCGCTAGCGAACTCTGATCTTATTTGTGATGTGTCCCTTAGATAAGGGATCATATATATATTCTTCCATTCTAGATATCGTATAGACATGAGACATGGATTTTGATCATTCTCTCAGTCTATTCTATGTTTCCCGATTTCCGATTTACGATGACCATGATTGATTGGACAAATCAAATCAGTCCTGGCTTGGCCAAGTTATTTAGGGTGTCATCACTAAATCATTGAGGGGCCCACATATATCGCTTTTATCCCACTTTGGGTAAAAGGAATGGATAAACTTCGACACAAATGCTCGCTGGCACCTACTGATTAAATCTCACACAACAATAAGTTTTATAACACCAAGTTATAGGTGCGTTTACTTATTATCAATGTGCAACCGACCAAAAAATAACAACTCACACGTCTCAGTTTCAAGAGTATATAATATTATCATCTCACTAATCACCCATGATAAAATCCATGAACTGATTCAAGTGAGCGTGAGCTTAATCCAATACTCTAATCTTATCAAAGCACTTATGAACTATGAAGCAAAGTTGTGCTATGCCTAATCACTTTAGACAATATATATATATATATATATATATATATATATATATATATATATAGATTCATGACAATCTTCCATCATACCTACTTCCAACGTATGACCGACTGTGGAGCACTACTAGAAAAACAGCCTTTTACGACGCTTATTGCGCGTCGTAAAAGGCTCAGACGACGTGCAAATGCGCATCAAGGAAGACCCTGTCATAAAGAGAGACGACGCATTTTTGCGCGTCGTCTATAGACGACGCGCATTTGCGACGCTCATTTACGACGTGCAATTACGACGCATGTTTACGACACGCAATGCGTATCAAGGAAGGCCCTGTCATAAAGGAAGACGACACGCATTCGCATGTCATAACCTTACGACGCGCGTGTTAATGACATGCAATGCGTATCAAGAAAGACCCTGTCAAGAAAGGCCATGTCATAAATGAAGATGACACACATTTTTGCGTATCATAATTTTAAATGTTTAAAAAAAATTATTTATAGATTCACTAATTTTCAAATTAAATAATACATTAAAAATATCATAATACAAAATAAAATATCATAAATAACAAAGATAATTTACTTCACTAATATGTCAAATACAAATAATTATTCAAATAGTGAGTAAATGTTATAAAAAAATGAACTCATTTATATACAATTACATTATCTAGCTTACTATGTGCCAACAACTCTGTGTGTGTTTACTTTTGTTTGAGTCTCGTTTCCTCCAAAGCTTCTAGCCATGTCAAAATATGATATCTTAGGGTTCATGTCCAAAATCAAGTAAAACATTGCTAGCTTAAATTCATCAAGTCCTTGGCGTGAAGTATTAGATAAAAGCTTAACTGCAATCTCCAATCCCTCTAGCAGACCCTAAAGATCATTATTGGCGATGTGGCAGGATCAACCTGCAATCTCTTTTCTGCCTTCTTATTACTTGCAACATCTTCTGCATGTTTGACCAAGGCTATGCCTTCAGCAGCAACATGTTGCATTGCGTCAAAAAGATAAAAACAGATGACAACAAATACAAATAACTATAAGCCAAGAGTAAAAGAATAGAACACAAAAAGAAGAGGAAACAAATCCTTGGCTTCCCCTCCATTTAAATTTTAATGTTTTGAAACACATATGAATTATGTACCTGCATTGTAAGAAGCATCATAATGACCCTTGCCAATCATTGCAAGCATTCGCAAAAAGTAATGATTGCAGTATGATCGTGCACAATCAAGGAAACAAAAAGGTATGCAAGCTTATCAAATCTTTCAGATCTAAAAAAAGTGGAAATAAAATTAAAGGAGAACGCAATGTCAATCACACTTACAATTAATGAAAGCTGAATCATCACAGTTGCATTTGTTATGCTTTCTCTGTTTAACATCATTCGAAAATAAGCAGTTTCATCTGGAATATCATTTAACACCTGCCAACATTTCATAAAATTAAGAACATATAACAAAAGGGCAATTTGGGAAATTAACAACTTTTTACTTGAACAAACTGTGATCTTCGAAGATTGAACATGAATTGAGGGAACAATGAGAAACTAGGGTTTAAAGAAATTGAAGAAGGGTCATCTTTTCTATAGTCCCCAAATTTGGAACATAGACAAATTAGGTTTCTATCTATCCACCTTGTTGCATCAAATGATTCCTGAAAAGGGTGATTCTGTAAATAAAATTTATATATTTGATTTGTGCAAAAAGTACTAGAAAGAAAAGTGAAAATTCACCTCCATTTCCATTTTATAAGAAGTTAATCTAGCTACTACTACAGCAGCAGTCTCATGATCAAAACCTTGCATTAATTCCTGTTAAAGAAAAAGGTAATTAAGTCTTTTTCTGAAATAAAGAAAAGGGTTTTACTATTTTTTTTACCTCTGAAAGAACAGCACTCTCGACCATGGCAGCAAGGGCATAAGCAGAAAGCTTAGTTTTCTCAAATGGAGCTGCGAGCTTACCATGGAATCTCTCTGCTACTGCTTTTCCAGATGTTGTTGCCAGCAAGAAATCTATATATTTGATCATTGCACGATCTAAAATATTCCCTATTGGAAGTTCAAAGCCCTATTCCTGCATTAATAAGTATTCATCAAATTAATTTTTTTTATACTGTTGATATTCTAGACTATAGACATTGGAATTCAGACGCCTACTTGGACAATTGATCGAAACATTGTCATATAATGCAGCCCAGCGACTTCAAAACTCTATGAGTAGGTGGCCCACTCTTGAAAGTGCAAATTACAACCGATAACAGGGGTTCTGTTTGTACTTTTCATGGAATGAAAGGCTTCAGGTCCTCTCCAGGCCCTCTGATGAACCCACTATATCATATAAAGACAGCATGCACCAACAGACAATAGTGTCCCCACTCTTATATTAAAGAAGTTGCTTTCGGCTCATTAGTTTCCCATCACTTACATCATCCCTGCAAATAAAAAACAAAGTGAAGATTTAGTTTTTTTTTCTTTAATTGTACCACTTGAAATTATATTTATGTATACCTGTAGAATATGATCCCCAGTGGGTTTTTCCCTGTTGCCTTCTCAAAAGATAGTAAAAGCAACAACAGATTGGCCAAACCTGAACACATAAACATTGATAATTAGTAGAAGCTAGGATACATGTTGATAAGAGAGTTAACCACCTTTTGTGAGAATTAATTAAGAAGCTAGCCTTTTGGCCTTGATTTATCCCTGTAAAACAAATAGTTAGTTCACATCAAAGACTCAAGCTCTCATCCAAGAAAACCAATCTTGATTTCTACTTTTATTTATCTGAATATTTAAGATACAATTTTCTTGAAATTTAAAAAGAAAAAGGTAATAACAAAGACAGAAACTTGCCTTCAACAAAGTATCTAGCTTGTTAAAAAGATTGACCATTTTTTGAACTTCCTTGGTGGCATTAAGACAAGGATTTTTTGATGCAGCAGCTGCTTCAAATCCACTGAGGGCCCTTTCGTAATTTTCCAGATATGTATTCACAGTAGCAGAATTGAAATATAAGTTTGGGTTTGAAAGAAACAATATCAGATAAAAGTTGACTTTTTCAAGTCAAATATACAAAGTAGATTTCCAACATACAACATTTTGGTATGCTTTTAAAGACTGATGTAATTTGCTGTGATCCCATGCCCCCGTGACAAAAAAACATGTCAAACAAACATTCCCCAAGTTGTCTGTTGGAAGAACAGAAAGGGTAAAATCACCAATACACATAAATTCTTATGTATTGATGATAAATTATGCAATAAACTTACACCATGAATTCCCATCCTTGACATCTAAAGCAATAGCTTCCTTTGCGTGTTCTATGCTTTCAACGACAATTTCCTCTTGATTATTAGCACCTAAAGATTTATTAAAAAATGTTTAGATTTAAAAAACACTATATATATATATATATATACACACACACATATATAACATAAACAACCACACTGGATAAAACAAGAACTGTTTCTTGCCTTGAGCCATTTGTCTTTCAAGCATTGATAATTAGCTAAGTATCCTTTTGTTTAGACCCTGTATTACCATTAAAATGAAAAATATTGGATGTTTATTAAGTGAATACTAGTAAGAATTTATAAGAATATATACAAGTGAAGTGATAATCAACCTTGCCTAGAGCAAGGGTAAAACAGTTTCTTGTAGCAGGTAAAAATGGAAAAAAGACTTTAAATTTTTAAACCTTAATCCCTCAATCTTCAGATGATTCAAAGTAAATCCATTTGTGGCATGGATCACATGTGGTACACGGGCCTACGAAAATCTAGTATCAATTATACCTACGATCAATGAGATAATTGCTAATGAATCAACTTGCATATCTTGCATTTCATCTTTCTCACTATGAATCAGCTGGTTGAACTCGTTCTCAAGTTGCTTTGATTTTGATCTCTTTATTTTTGCTCCATAACCAATATGATAAACATTGGGAGGAACACACTGAGCACCCAATGATGATGATGATGATGATACAGGTTCCTGAAAGATTATGTGAATTATGATGCAGTAAATTTGCAAAATACTATGAAAGAAATTATATTATTTAATTTACCTCTGTTCTTATACTGGAACCTGCTTTTTATAGATCAATCAGAGCCAAAAGAGCATTCAATTTCTCTTCAATATTTAAATCTGAATATTCACCTTCCATCAGTCCAGATAACCACATTTCTCCAGGATGAATCATTAGGATTATCATCAACGCTACCACAGTCTTCAAGGTAAGATTGGTCATCCTCAGTATCCTTAACAATGGAGTAGGCTTGTAGCACATTTGGCCGGTACTAATATAATTGTGTGTCGATTGGGGTAGCAACTTAATAAATGAACTCGCCATATCATAAGAAGAAAACACAATTTGGGTGAAAATCAAGAAAGCACCAGATAACATTCTCAAAGTTCTTGTGTCGACTGCTATTAATTTGAGAGAAGAAATAGGAGATAGACAATCCGTGTTGAATAACATACCTGAAGTGGATTCCAAGACTCTTTCCACGCCAACTTTTGAGATTACGTCTGACTTTTGCTACCAATTAATCGAACTAAGCCCTAGGCTTTTGTTTCGCCTGAAAGTGAAGTCTTTTGATACGAAATCGGAACCCAAATCTTGGAAGAACCTGAAAATCGATTCACGATCGACTGTGAGAACGTGGGGGGGGGGGAGTTGAAAACCGATTCCAATTACTTCAGAATGCCAAATTGAATTCATAGAAAATTTTTCCAAAATCAGAAAGCAATTCTTAATTCGTAATTTCTCAAAATATTGAAAAAGCGATTGGAAGAAGATTAGCGAAAGAAATCAACAGACCTAAAGAAAGGAGGCGATTTTGAAGGCGATATCGATTGGAACCCAGTTCTGAATGGTTCGATTGTTCAAATGAAATTGGGTTGGATCCATTGAATGAGAATGTAGCCAATCACAATCCAACAAACTTCCTTCTCTCCTCTCGCCAAGCAATTAGCGATCTTGATTTAGCAACCCCCCTAGAGAGTGCTAGGGGACGGTGTTTCAAGCTCGCTAGCAAGCCTAGCGAGGTTGGTGGCGAGCTCCACTCCGCTTAGCCTCAAGTCGATCAAACCTCAGTGGCCTGGAATATTAAGTGATGCACGTCAGCGAGGGTGTGAGCTGAAGCGGGCCCTCAATTCTCAACTCCACGTCGGAGTACTTGATTTGAGATACGAGCTTGGTTGCGTTATTCCTTTAGGATAAACAAAAGGGATTCAGTAGTGGTGGAGGCAGATTAGGGTTTACAGAGAAAAGGAAAAGGAGAGAGTAAAGATTGCCGGCTGGTGGAGAGGATGAATTCGTTATTCCTTCCCGAACAACAACTTGATCAGAGAACGAAACCTGCAAATGAGGAGAAGTAACGTAACGATCGGAGGAGGAGACGTTGTCTGCAAGGGGAAGCGATTCGAGGTCTCAAGTCGATCGAATCGTAGAGAGTGAAGTGAGTGATGAATAGTGAGTGTTAGATATTTTATTAGTAACCTCGATTACTGTGAAGAGACGCGCGCCTTTCACTAAAATTATAATGTGACATTCATTGAGACGGTGCACATTTTACATTAAGTGCCCTCCGTGTTTTTAATTTTTTTACATTAGACACTAACTCTAAGGGCACTCAATAAAGCGCGACATATATACTTAAATTTTTTTAAGAAATGACACTTTTTTAATGTCACTCTCTCTTGCGTAACATAAATCAATGAGCGTCGTATTTTGCACGTCGTAAAAGGGTCTTTTCTTGTAGCGGAGGTTCGAATAACCCAGTTATTTTCGAAGTCAAAACATGCAAAGTGAAACACAATAATAATACTTAATCCTATATGGTCCCAAACTTGTAAGTATAAAAAAAAACACCTTTTATTTAGTCACTATATTGATTACTCATTATTCATTGTTTAATGTTTCAAATAATCAACTTTATATTTGAATTATAACCATAATTTTCCCATGCTCGAAGCGCGCAAAATTTGGTTTCCCATGGTCCATACTTTGTGAAATAGATCAATTGAAAAACTTTTCCAACGAAACTCATTTCACAATCCTAATCCTCATCATTAGTGTAAGAGTACCAAATTGTAAGTTTACAATCTCCCATATCTGATGATGTTAAAACTAATCTTTAACATGTTCATTATATATATTTAACGATTGCTCCCCTGAGATTTATAACTTCTGACAACATTCATATGCTCCCCCTAAAGATGAGATATTATGTTCTTCAATGTGATAGCATAGTCTATTCATAGATGAAGATGTATTGAAGACAACGTATATGGAAGATCATGTGCCATGAGTCTAAATGTCTTTATTGAAGATTTTGGTATCTCCCTGAAAATGTGAATATATTGTGAAGATATCTCTCCCGCATTTTGACATCAACAGTATTATGGTTTGATGGGATGGATCAGCGTATCTAAATTACTAAATTAGTGGATCAAGAATTCACCTAACAATTAAGTGAGATTGTGATGTTACATAATAGTATGGGTTTGAACTATCAATCAATGACATTGTGTTGTCAGGTCTGATCATCGTATCGTTCTATACACTGAATCATTATCTTCTTTTATTAGAAGAATAAAATGAAACAATGGAATGGTGTATAAGAAGTTATGTTATGAATTGTACCCATCGACAAAGAGAGCCGATGTTTTATCAGTATATGGCGAATATAGTGAATCATTCACCCCCTTAATAGAAGAACTGTTGGATTGGTGCATGTGATAAGATATGATGCATAGTTTTACCATTGACACAAACTTTTCAAGCTCTCATCAGCATATGGTACTTTATGCTGAATCATAAAACTTTAAAGAATAAGTTTTGGCAAAAAGGGATTGATGCGTGTGATAGAATATGGTAAATAGACTAACCGTTGACACACAATTTCAAATATCTATCAGTGTGTGGTTTATCATCGTGAATCACTAAGTCATATTAAGAAGAAAATAAGGAATGAATGGAGTGTTTCAATCACAGTGAGGTGAGATAAGCGTGAATCATAAGCAATTTCAGCTCATGAACAAGAAGTGGTTTATCTTCAGTATCGTCGAGTTGAGTTGCAGTATAGAAATTTTGAATTCACCATAAAAACATTTAATATGGAAAAAGAAAAAAATAATGAAATAAAATAATAAGAAATGTTCAACAGAAGAATAGTTAATAGGGATTATACAGCTTTTTCAGTTCCCATTAAATAAGTTCCTTTTCTTTGAGGAACCTCCTCCACAAAATAGTATATAAAAGTGTACACAAGAAAGAACAAAAACATCAAAATAAATCACGACAAACTAAAAATGACAATGCCTTTAAATGTTGAAATGTTGAGGATAAATTGCAAGCTTCATGTTCTCCAAGAGCATGAAAGGAACACAAATTAGTATTTGTATTAATGGGATGAAATCCACGGAACCATAGAGTTGAAAAAATGAAAACGAGGGCACTCGATGTTTTATTGGATTATGAGCTAGTAGATGAAAGTAAGACACATTGTATTGATGGAGGCTTCTTGCATCCTTAACATTAAGTGGAGGAAAGAAAGAGTATTGTCTCTAAGAAAAAGTCTTCATGCCAACATTCTTCTCTACAATTAGAGCCTTTAAAACTTACTGCATGTACCCAACCCTTTCTTACTTTGGAAGGAAGAGATGCAGATAATCCATAGATAAGGTATTGATAGACCTAAAAATAGAGAATGGAGAGAAAAGAGAATACTTATAAACACTATATGTAAGGGTTAAACAAACTATGTAAAGTTCTTTATCAATAGCATAATAAAAGAAACACTTGCTTTTTTTTGTGTGTGTTTTCATGTTTTTGAAAGCAAGTTGAAAATAAGTTATTTTAAGTGAGTTAGAAAATAATTAAGTCATTGAAAGCATGCGATGATCTGCAATAATTTGTTTAGCATCTTCTCATCCAATGCCTTAGTGAAAATGTAATCCAGTTAATTAGTCAATGGAATTTAGAACAACTCCACTTTTCAGTTTTGCACAATATCCCTGATGAAGTGATGGTGAATGTCGATGTGCTTGGTCTTGAAATGCTGCATTGGGTTTCGTATAATCTGAATTATGCTCGTGTTGTCACAACATATAGGAGTCTTTAAGAAGTTGAGACCATAATATAACAGATGATTCTGAATCCAAAGAATCTGAGCACAACACCTACCAACTTCTAGATATTTAGCTTCTATGGTAAAGCAAGACCCTAATGTTTTCTTCTTGCTGGAGCAACTCACCAATCTATTTTCAAGAATTTGGCCTCCTCCTTGAATACTTTTACGACCAATACCACAACCACCATGATATGAGTCATTATATCCCTCCATTTTAAGCTCAGAGTCGCAAGGATACCATAACCCAAAATTGGTGTATGCTTCTAGTAATGAAAGATCATGTTTACATCTAGAAGATGAGATTCCCTGAGATAGGCTTGATATTGAGAACAAAATATGGTGGCAAACATAATGACATGATGATTGGAAGAAAGATAGTGCGGTGAACCTATCATTCCTCGGTACTGGGTTGCTTCTACATCGGTGGTAGTTGGATCAGTAGATATAGACGCTGATGAAGACATTGTAGTCTTTGATGGTTTTCTATAAAAAAAAACCCAACATCTTCAGTATATCTGCAATATATTTACCTTCACAAACAAAGATTCCATCATTTAGTTTTCTAACATGGAAACCCAAAAATAAACTTAGTACACCCAGCATGCTTATATCAAATTTCCTGGCAATAATTGTAGCAAACTCATAGCTTAGTTTGTCATCAATCAATTTGAAAATGATGCCATCAACATACACTTAAGAAATAATGATTTGAGAGCTTGAATGCTTGTTAAACAAAGTGTAATAAAAATTTCCTTTTTTGGATCCAATCTCTAGATGATATCTCACCAGTATGCCATACCATGTCCTAGGTGCCTACTTCAAACCATAAACAACTTTATCAAGACGATACAAATGATTAGGAAACTCTTTGCTTTCAAACGTTGGTGGTTGCTTTAGAAATATTTCTTCGTCTATATCCCCATGTAAGAAGGCAATCTTTACATCCATTCGATAAACTTTGAAGTTCTTGAATGAAGCAAAAGCAAGAAACATATGAATTGATTCAGGTCGGATAATAGGGGCAAAGTATTCGTCATATTCTAATCCTTCAAGTTGATAAAATCATTGGGCCACAAGTCTTGCTTTGTTTCTAATGAAGATTCAATCTTCATCCATCTTTTTTATGAACACCCGGTGAGTACCAATGATG